CCCCAAAACCCCAAAACCCCAAAACCCCGATAAAAAAGTTAATTCTAAATTTAGGAAATAAGTGATTATTCGATAAAACTTCGAAATGCTTAATAGATAATAATATTATTAATTAGTAAAACATAATGAGTAGCAAGCTGTAGATTTCTGATATATAACTCTGCAATAACAGTTATTTGAAACCTAACGATATGAGTCTTCCTTCTGCTAAAATTAGAGACTAAAGTGCTCGAGCATTGAAAGGCATTTATAACATCGTTCAAAAATAGAAGGAATTGAATTAAACAGACTTTAACTAGAGATTTTAGGGTAAAATGTAACGTATGAGCTTAGAAGGCCATTAGTCTGTCTTAAAAGAGTTGAATCAGCCTATCATTAAAGATGTGAATATTTTAAGTTAGAGCTAAAATTAAGCTCTGAGATAGAGTATAAAGAATGGTTCTAGACAAGTTCCAGATATCATGTTTTAAAAAAATCAAGATGAAGATGTTTTAAGCCCTTTGCAGAAAATGAGGAATCAGAGCCAAAATCAAGATATAAGATAAAGATATAATAATTTCAAGATAAATAATGAACAATTAGACATGAATAAAGTCTAAAACAAATAAGATTACAATTTTTAATCTCAAAACTTGTGGAATAATGAACCTAAATCTGCTTAAATATACAATCTAATCCGTATAAAAAACCTTAGAAAAGATGTTTTATCTTCTAATTCGAACTATATCAAATATTAAAATTAATCATTAACTAATAATTAAGACCATGAAAAATAATCATTATCATAACAATAGTAATCTAGATTAGACTCTACAAGCGTCATTCTGCCAAATATATACAAAAGAGACAATTCCCTATTTATGAACTATAGTGATAATCCCACGTTGGATTCTGAATTCAGTTAAGCAAGTTTCCCAGCAAAAAATGCTAATCGCGAGTCTAACAAGAGAAGAAAATTATAAATAAGCCTAGATATAAGCAGCATTCAGAAAAAGTAAAAGAATAATTCTGATATGAAAATTAAGAGTTAAGTTGCATAATTTCAGATACTAAATCATCTTAACTCAGAAAAAGATGATTTGCTGCAATAGATAAATAAGCATAATGGAATCAATCTCCCTAATATGCAAGTGAGTTTGAAATAAAACAAAGAAATTGATCCACTTGTAAATTAGAACAATTAGAATATACCAGAAAATAGCATACAAAGAAGAAATCGCAATATCACAAAGTTGAATATCTCAAAACTCTAAAATTGAAGTCGATTAATTGCTTTGCTTTTATTTAATCTAAATTAAGTTGAAAACTTGTGATTATGATATCATAAATTGATATTTTCCACTAGCCAAATCTTAATTAAGTCACCTGTGAATCAAAACATATAAATATTCTTAGATATTAATTTAAAGGTAATACAATTAAATCATCACTTAACTCTTAATTTTATTAATCATAAATTTACATTGTTTATCTTCTAACTCTAATTCTAAGAAGAATTAGTTTCTTGTATTATCTCAAAATCATATATTTTTCTGGTAGCAATCTCATATAGAAATTCATCAAAGTCTATATCTTTGAAATTGAGAGGGATTTCAATACTTTTATCAGAAAAAACCTTGAATTTATTTCCTAAGAGTAAATTTGCGTTTTCCAGGATAATACTCAACAGCCAGTCTTTCCTTTTTATCAATTACCCATTATATTTTACTTCATCGGATGTCCTCATATATTTAAGCAGATGCTTCATGCAGAGTGTGTATTTTTCCAAATCCAAATCTTGCTAGTCCTTTTTATTAATTTTAAGCCCTGGCAGAATATCAGCCAATTAATCTAATGTGCTATCATAACTTAGCTAAAGATTAATGAATCTCTTAGCTAAATCTCTACATAATTAATGATTTTACGATATGTAATCTCTTAAAGTCTCAACCTTGAATTAATAAGGTACTGATATATAACCTGGAATCTCATCATATCTATAACTTTGATACCTTCCAAACATGAGATATATGGCTGGCTCTGCACCTGATAGTGCTTCTCCTATTACCTTCAATACATTAATATGAGCCATCTTATCTTCTTGCTTAAGGCTATCTCCTTAGAGAATTCTAACACAATTTTAAACTTAATATTCCTCCATGTTTTTATTGAAGAAGATTTGACTTGGATCAAGACCATTCACTCTTAATCTTTCTCCTCTTCTCAAAGCTAATGAAGATTTCACAGCATGCTTCATAGCAGGATCATATTTCCTTACATATAAATCACTAGGTATATCATAATGCTATCTATAGACATTCCACAATACCTTCCTATAAGTATTTATTAATTTTAAATTTTCTTTACTTTTCAGTCTCTCTATGTAGTTATTAGTTTGCATAAATTTCCATCAATTTGCTGTTGAAACCTTCATCAAGCTCTTTGCTGAACTACCTTGGCTTCTTCTATCTTTCTATCAAATGATCCCATCTGATTTTAACTTTATAAGAATTGTCTGTATCTTCATCTTTCATATATTCCTCTCCTTTCTCGAAAAACTTGTAAATAGTGTCCTCTAGTGCTTTGTTTAGTGAATCAACAGTACTAAGAGTATATGAGGCAATCTTAATGTTATACTTACTTTGTATAATGCATGCTCTTAATCTCTTGAGACTAATTAGGTTTAAGTGGTAATAACTTTATCGTAAACTACAAGAAGTCTTCCTACTTATTTCCCTCTATCTTTATCTTCTTGTCTGATTCATCCTTTTTGACATAGAATTATAGTTCTTTCTCCTCTAGAGAGTTGCCGAAATTTGAGTTATTAAGGGATGTCAAGTATTAGTTAAGCTCTTAAACACTCTTTGCATTAGTCTCTCTGACTTTCTCAGGAGCTTTTCCAAACATATCAGGATGAGTTAACTTTAAGAACTAATTCAACTTCGCTTTACCAGCAGCTCTTTATTGAAAGGATGATGCGTAAGACTATTATGTACTGAAAAAATTTTTTCTATAATCAATTAAAGCTCCCATTTGTTGCTGTTGAGTTTAAAATGCTCCTATTCTATTGGTCCAATTATTGGAAAAGTAAATTCTTTAAAGCTACCTCTTTATTGACCACATATTTTATGATTATAATTATGAAATCAAAATTATTAATTATAGAATAGTTCAATTACTAATAGTTAAAAAAGGTTATATAAAAATCAAAGACTTAAAATGATTGCTTTAAAATTTAAGTTGGTATTTTCCAGATAGTTAAGAGAAAAACTTATCAATGTTTTTTAGGTGGAATTCCTGTACCTGCTGATAATTGGTTCTTATATTTGTATTTCTTTCTATACTCATCCTTAAGATTTTTAAGCTTATTCATTGTTTCCATTTTATTCTGCTAAGCTGCATTTTAGTTTAATGAGTCTCTAGAGTCTGGTCTATTACCCAAATTTACATTGTCAGATCCATCATGCTACTCCTCACTTTCCAATATATCTTCGTACTTATTTGCTTCTTATTTCATACTCATTTGAACTTGACTGGGAATATTTTGAACTTTCTAGGTTACTGGACCATTGTCACTTTTGAAGTTTTACTGATGAATTTACTAACCATTCTTTTGCTCCTTTCTCTGGCTTTAAACAGGAGTTGTCTCCTGTACGACAGAAGTCACGTTTTCAATTAGTAGATTTTCTTAAGTCCTATCCTAACCATAACTATTAGAGTTATCTTTATTTTCGCTATCTTAAATCATTTAACTTCCATTTCTGGAGTTTTGAGGTGATGCTTCACGAGTGTTTTAAACAACTTCTTACAGTTTTGTTATAGCAGATGTATTTTTCGATAATGGCTTAGGATTAAGTTCTTTTTTAAGAGAAATACCAGATGAGCCTTAATCTTCATCTGTTCTTTTTTATGGTTGATAGTTTTGCTTTGAGGGATGACTTTTTTAAGAAGGAGGCTCAAAGAATTATTTCTGGTCAAATTTGGTTTCCACAACAGTCTGTTTCTAAGCTCCACCTTGAGCTCCATTGATATAGTTAACTGCAGCTTAATTTTTCGCTTTCTAAGCTAATTCTAAAATAGATTTCCCTTCCTTTTTGTTTACATAACCTTTGAATGCTTTTCCCTGTTAAAGTATAATATCTGCTATATCAAAGTCATGTTAAAAGAGTGCTCTAGCAAAGGCTGTTAATCCATTCCTTGAGCATTCATAATCTACTTCAAGAGGGGTATTAGGCCTAACTACATTTTCGCAGAGGAATTTTACAACCTCCTTTTGTCTGTATCTCACAGCTATCATCAAGCAATTTTCATCATTTTTATTTGTTAGATCAGTCTAAGCCCCGAGTTGGTCAATCAAAAACTTGACTGTTTAAACGCTTCCATACTGGCATGCTCTCATTAAAGGAGTTGACTTAGAATTATCGAATCTGCCATTAACAATAGCAGATGTAATCATATCATTTGAATAGCCTTACTCTCTAAGTTTATCAAGAAGCAGATGATGAAATGCTAGATTTTAATGCTATTTTAGTTAAGACTAGATTTAAAATACCTTGCAAGAAACATAGAAGATATAAGGGCTAACTGAAGCATCTTTATTTATCAGGTAGGTAGCTACTTCAAAATGTCCTCTAGCCAAGGCGATTGCTAGTCCCGTCGCCTTCCCTGAATCATTATCTTTTGGCTCATCCTTGTTATATCCAGCTTCTGAAACAAAATAATGCACTATATCGAGACTTCCATTTCTACAAGCAAGGTGAAAAGGATTCATTCCGTTGTCAGCTCTTGTCGGGTAAACTTTGTTTTCTTTTAGCGTTTTAATGATCTATTTATTAAAAATTAAAAAGGCTGATTATTTACCTCTAGATTTTTATATAGAACAGCCATGTGTAATGCTGTATACCCAAATTTATCAGTTTAATTTCTATTCATGTTGACTGTGTTAATCACAAGTTCCACTAAGCCAATGCTAAAAGTATAATTAAAATATCTGTGCATTACTTTTGTTTAGAGACAGCTAGCATTAAAGGAGTTAGCCCAGCAGAATTTATAGAAAAATTCAGATCAATCTGACAGTTAGTTTCAAAAACTCCAAGATCTATGATGCTTATCATATCTTCAGTATTAATTGCTTTAATTATTTCAAACTAAATATCAATCTCAATGAATATTAATACTTACTTGCTTAAATGAGAGGTTTTGGAACTTTTAGTCATGAGCAATGCTTCTCTCGATTGTCATTAAAGTTGGATCTTGCATTTCTAATAGAATTTTTAATAATTACTAATATTTAATTAGTAAGTTTACATTAGTACTTTCATTCTAATAATAATTATAATTCAAATTTATTTGATAAGTTGATTTTAACTCTTTAATTATTTGTCAGGGGTTTTGGGGTTTTGGGG